TGCGAGATGCCGATTGGGTTCGTCACATTGCACGTTAGCATCGCGGGCCCGCTGGTTTTGGATGGGAAGACTTACTACGTGTCGATGGCCACGACCGAATGGTGTTTGGTTGCGAGCACGAACAGAGGGTGCAAGGCCATCTGGGAGTCAGGTGGGGTCTAGAGTGTGGTTTGAATGTACTTAGATCAAAATTTAATCAAATATATTATGTCTATTTAGTGATTAATTTCGGTATAATTTATTGTGATTGTATGTGAAATGTATTGTGGTTGTCATGTGAATATGTACAAGTTCATTCAAATAGAACTTGATATGCATAATAAACTGAAGATTATATATAAATTATCTGTATCAAAACCTGAATATTATGGTACATAATATGTGCATAATCTGGAGGTTATTGTGTACATAATATATTTACAGATTATGTACATCATCTTCAAGTTATGATACACTATTAAATCTCATAATATGTTAACTTTTACTGTTACATGTTAACTTTCATCATTATATGTTAACTCTTTTCGTAACATGTTAACTTTTAGCCGAACATGTTAACTTTCATCACAATATGTTAACTTTTATTGTTATATATTAATGTTCATCATAATATGTTAACTTTCATCATAATATGTCAACTTTCATCATAATATGTACATAATCTATATATATTATGTACACAATAATCTCAAGATTATGTGTACATATTCACATGACAGTCACAATACATTTCACATACAATCGCAATAAATTACACCAAAATTAATCACTAAATAGACACAATACATTTCATTAAATTTTAATCTAAGTACAACCAAATCACGGTTCTCTTTTCTCCACGGTAACCTCTCATCCTATAGAACAATAAATAAAATAAAAGCATCATCTTACAATAATCTCTTAGCATTACAAAAATAATCACAAACCAGTACAACTACGTGCAGATAGACCCCATCACAAATCTAAACGTAGTTTCTTTGAGCTCAGGAAACTTATTTATACACATAATCTTGAAATGTATTGTGCTTGTCATGTGAATATGTACACATAATCTTGAGGTTATTGTGTACATAATATATATAGATTATGTACATAATCTTCAAGTTACGATACACTATTAAATCTCATAATATGTTAACTTTCACTATAATCTTCAAGTTACGATACACTATTAAATCTCATAATATGTTAACTTTCACTGTTACATGTTAACTTTCATAATAATATGTTAACTTTCATCATTATATGTTAACTCTCCTCGTAACACGTTAACTTCAGCTAAACATGTTAATTTTTATCATAATATATTTACTTTCACTATTACATGTTAATTTTCATAATAATATGTTAATTTTCTTCATAACAAGTTTTTTGAACTAAAATTCAATGTGTTTGAAAGATTAAAAGTTCTAACTGAAATGTTAACATGTTCATGTAAAAGTTAATATGTTACGAAGAAAGTTAACATATTATGGTAAAAGTTAACATGTAATAATGAATGTTAACATATTATGATGAAAGTTAATATGTTACGAAGAAAGTTAACATGTTACGAAGAAAGTTAACATATTATTATGAAAGTTAATATGTTACGAAGAAAGTTAATATATTATTATGAAAGTTAACATGTTACGAAGAAAGTTAGCATAATATGGTGAAAGTTAACATGTTATGAAGAAAGTTAACATATTATTATGAAAGTTAACATGTTATGAAGAAAGTTAACATGCTATTATGAAAGTTAACATGTTACGAAAAAAGTTAGCATAATATGGTGAAAGTTAACATGTAATAGTGAAGGTTAACATATTATGATGAAAAGTTAACATGTTCAGATAAAAGTTAACATATTATTATGAAAGTTAGCATGTAACTGTGAAAGTGTACTCAGACATAATACAAAGTGTACGCTCACTTCGTTTGAACTCTCGTACTGCGATATATCCTTATCTAATTGGAATCGATCAAACTTTTCATATATGCCCATAATCAATCTAGAAGCGCGTATGCAAGATAAAAACCACTTTGTTTGCAAGGAAATATTTAGAAAATTAATATATAAATTATAAATATATTTTCTAAACAAACCATATATGCGTGAATCCATAGAAAACCTAAATAAGTAATACATTCAAGCAATTCATCAAACATCGATCCATCAAACAAATAAAATCAACAACAACAAACCCACACACATACCTAAAAATCAGCAAACTTCAATATCTATAAACAAAGTTCTATATTAAAACCCTTACAAGTTGGAAATCTAAGTTAAACCCCAAATACAATAGTAAACACAGTACGGAATTACAAGTTGCACATAACAAGAAGTACTGCATGTATGTGAATGAAAGTTGATAGATCACAAAATGACATCAACCAAAAGCTAAGTAATTTTAATCATAGGCTCAGGGGATGCGGAAGTACAAGCTTGCACATTTCTGGGGGTACAAGCTTCAGGCTACGCATCCACTCGCAAAAGCTGTAGTCGTCAAAATGAAGGAAACTGGCCTTTAGCCGCGCTCTCTGATCAGGTGATAGCGTACGTAACTGAGGGAATCTTGCCTTCTGAAATCAGAAAAACAATTACACTTTTATTAGTTATCCATACCAAAAACTCAAGCTCTTTGGTTTTTAGGAAAATTAAAATGTTAATGTTCCCCAAGTATAGGATCACTAACATAAAAACATTAATGTTAATGTTTCCCAAGTATATGATCAGAAAAACAAATGAACTTTTATTGGTTATCCATATCAAAAAAACTCAGGCTTCCTGATTTTTAAGAAAATTAAAATGTTAATGTTCCCCAAGTATAGGATCAATTTTTATTGGTTGTTCAGGGTTTCCCAAGGTTAATAAGATTTCAACCAAAAAAGTGCAGGTCTCAAATACATTTGTACAGGCAAAACTTGAAGAGGCTAACAAAGCTTACTACAAACTAGGAACCACTTGTCTGTTTAAAGTATTAAAGCAATCGTCCCAGATAACATTAGACTTTGTTCATATAAAAATCTTAAAGCAATCATGTTTATTTAAAGTCCATCCTCAATATCAGCACAATATTAAAGACCGGCACAAGGAACCACTTGTCTGTACATGTTCATAAGAAACTTGTACCCCGACAAATTGAGTAACATCCTTGCCTGAAATGGGAATAGACTTGATATTACTCATCCTCCGCCAGCAATCGTCCCCTTGATCAGGCCTCAGAGCCTAATGTCGTTGGATCAGACCTCCACTTGAGATCCGACCGGAACGAGACAACGTCGGTGATCGTCGGGAGTTTTTCGTTCTCGAGGAGGCTGAGGAAGAGTAGATTGGCGTCGGCACAATTTTCGGAATGTATTGGGATGAATTTCTGGGAGAGTGTGAAAAGGGGGCTGAACACATTTTTTAGTGTTTTTGGGGTTAAAGAGTAATGGAAAAATATAGAGGGGCTGGGTCACATCCCCTTTATTTTTTGGGGGCCTATGCACAATTTTCTCTAAATAATAAGGTAATTCTATGATAAAAGGGCTTTTTCCCACTATGAACCACCTTCATAATAGGGTAATTATACGAAAATCAACTTTTATTTTCAATTTATATATAAACCATCTATAAAGTAGGTTTTCATTGTTATCAACCACATCCTAGTCAAATTTTCACTAAAAATTAAAAAATAAGTTTAAAAACTCAAGTTCAATATACGTGAGTTGTATCCTAACACGACTTAAACACTAAAAAATGAATCACGTACTTTGAATGCGCATTTTTAAGGGTAATTTTGGATTTTTAGTGAAGAATTTGACCAGAAGGTGATTGATTACAACAAAAATCAACTCTAAAAGTGGTTTATGTATAAATTAAAAATGAAAGACGTTTTCCATATAATTATCCTATTTTAGGTGGTTTGGGGGGGGGACCCTAATAAAAACACTCTTCAAACAACAACAATGAAATTCTTCAACTTGGAAACATTGTTCATATCTGTTTTTTTTTTTTTTTTTTTGGTGACGATTTGAACCTTTATCAAACATTTAACGTATATTAATCTTTTCTGGCTATATTTAAAAAATTGATAAAATTTGTTTATTGGCATATTATTTTGTTAATTGGTCAGGAGATTCGCTCTGTAAATAGTAATAAAAAGAATCTGTCGCTGAAGTCTTTATAAACAGTTATATACAATAGTTATATTGTCAATCTGGTGACAAATATATCTCTGTAAATAATACCCGTAGCAACGCGCATGCTTAATACTAGAAGTCCTAAATTGAACACCAGAGGTTCCATGTGTCAATAAAAACATTTTAGAGAAGTGACCAACTCCCTATAGCACAGGAGGGGTAACGGCAAGTAAACCTAAAATTTAAACAGAAAATGGAAGGGGGAAAAAATAAACAACTTTGAAGAATGTGGCAGGTGATAGGGTCCACTGGTCCTCCCCTCTGCAGGGTATATATATGATATTGTGAGGTGCTCACCCGCACAAAGTGACTGAAATTGGATTAGACATCACCAGGACCACCACTGTTTCCTCATGCACGTGGTACGGAGTGGGCAATTGGATTCTCATGTAAACTTGTTTCTGTATGACGTAGTTATGACATTTGGATTCTCAATTAGTTATGACATTTGCCCTCAATTATGCAAGTCCTATTTGCATCATTTCTATGCATAGCTGAGGAGAAAGGACCTGACAATACGTCATAACTCAGCTTTTATTCAAGATAAATTGTAAATTGCGGACAACCTACTCATTTATAACTTAAGTAGCACTGATTACCCGTCAACTATTTTATTAGCATTTAGCACTTTATAAATACATAATCACTACAAAGCTATAACCGGATATTATAATTAAGAAGGCGGGGGAGACACAAACACCTCACCTGACCCAGATTGATAATGACTAGTAAACTACTGAAACTGAAGCTTGGCCTTGTGATAGCATTCAAACTAGCAGTCTATGTTAAAGCTTTGATCCTGCACAATTCATTAACAAAGAACCATGACAAACAAAAAGCTGGGGAAAAAAATTACGACATGGAAAATTTAGATTACAACAAACTCAGGCAGCAAAATTACATAGTTTCTCTGACAGTGAAAATTTCTGACAGCTACAGGATAAAAGATCAAGAACCTGTGTAATTTTAAGCAAAGTATATAAACTCACTACCAATCTGAACCATCTGGGAAAGGATCCAAGGCATCCTGCTTCCCATTAACGTAAAACTCCACAACAGCTTTCATTCTAAAGAGCTTATCAGGATGATAGTTCAAATGAACGACAACAGGCATTAACTTCTTCAGTTGTGCATCTTTTCTCACTGTTTTAAAAAGAACTTTGCTGTTCATGAACTGATACATGTCCATGGTTCTCCTTGAAGCGTGAAGCCCGTCGTATCCTGGGTGCGATGGATAAAAGAGTTCTTCGTTAAAAACTGCTTGATCCCATGCCTTTTCGTGAGCCAACCTGTTTGCTACCCTATCCAAAAGCTCGATTGATGGGATTGTCGGTCTGATATAGAAAAACCCCGAATTATATACCCATATTCTCATTGTATGAGCATATCTAGCCCAACCCATTGAGGGTTCATCAAAGACATCATTATATCCATAAGCTGTCATGTTATTATGGCCATCGCTCATAGACTCTACATCAGAGTCTCTATAGAGATGATCAAACGGATTCTGTAGGTAAACTATATCGACATCTGAGAGAAGAATGCTGTAACCGAGCTGTAAAAATTCTCTTAATACACGGAATTTTAGACCAGAAACAGCATGATTACCACCAGTTTTTGCAATGTCATCGAATCCTTCATCAAGGCTTCTACGGTAAACTGGAACTTCATTCGAATTGCAGAATTTTTCGATATCATCATCCAGTGCTACCACGAGATAATTTGGAATTCCTACTCTTTTGATGTTTTCAAACCAAAGCTGCAACATTTCTTTCACGTTGGAATTTGCGAGTGCAAGTATGAGCTCTTTTCTAACGGCTACTTTCTCGAGGATTTTCGCTAATCCAGGGTTCACTGATTCATCCGGGAGGACTGTTGGATTTGTTCTTAAAGATTTGACAGTACCAAAAGGCCCAGCTTTGTGCTGCTGTCCCAAAACCAGGAATTGCTTTTGGGCCTGATCTTTCCCTTGTTCAGCCAGTTGGAGCTTTACAGTTAGATCATTGATCTGCTTCTTCAGTTCAGCGTTCTTTTCTGATAGAGATGCTAACTCAGACTTTAACATGTTGGTTCTTTCACTTGATTCACATGGAGCTGAAGAGCCCTAGAGGTTTAGGATATAAGAAAGAGAGAGGCAATAATGAATAAGTTAAGAAATAAAGATAATTACTTCAGATGAGAAAAGGAAAAATACAATTGAAAAAAAAAAGATGTATACCAATTAAATGTAGTGATATTACTGGTAGCAAATAGATCATGAACAATAATATGAAGACACAAGAACACATTGGATGCCCCTCCACTGAATAAAAAACTAGATGTATACCAATCAAATGTAATGCTATTACTGGTAACAAATAAATCATGAACTATGATATGAAGACAAAAGAACACATTGAATGCCCCTCTACTGCCAAAGATCCATCCCTATGATTTCCAAACCTGAGCAAACTAGTACCCTCTCCTCCCCCAGCTCACACATGGGAGTCCAGAAGATTCACCACAAATTCAGGATGGTCGGTATAGGATTAGCACATATACTATAACATTAAATTTTAAGTGTTAGCTTCTTTCCAATTCAAATCACGTAAGCACCCAACCAGAAGATATAAAAGAACAGCAAGAAGAAGAAAAAAAAAGGTGTGATGGACTGAGTGGTATTGTGGTGTTGAAAGCAGGAAGGAAAACGTGTGTTCTTATGATTTCACTTCCGGATAGGATGTGGTTTTCATTTTACTTTCTTTCTTTATAGGATGTGGTTTTCATTTTAATTTCTTTCTTTATTTCATTTCTTGTAAAAGTTTGGAAGTGGCAGTTAGATGAAAGTGTAATGAATGTCACCAGTAAAACAAGGAAAAGGAAAAGAATGAAGCACAAATAAACGACTAATTCCTGGTTATGAATCAACGAAACTCCTCGGAAGGAACTTGATTTGCCAGTTCTGCTATCCTCATTTCCTCAAACTCTCACCTTTCTTAGTCCTCATGTAATTTACTCAAAAAACAAAAACAAAAACAAAACAAAACAAAGCAAAAATCGCTTTAAATTGTTTTCTTTGTGAAGACTCGGAAACCACATAGGCCTATCTGAAATTCACCTGTGAAAACAAAGGCTGTATTTTTTTGTTATAGTTATATCTAACCCCGATGCTGGTGACATGGCTTAACCCAAGCTGTCGAATCAGGAATTATGTCATGCATCATTTTCTATATATGTTGTTTGTTATACCATATTGCAGATATAGAAGTAAGGATTAATTGCAGAAGCAACCTCTATAGCTACTTATCATAAGGATTAACTGCAGATGTACCCTGCTTAGCTACTTATCACTCTTCCTATATTTTATTGGCTCATACACACCCCGATCAAGGTGGCTATGTTACTTCCATTAGAATTTAAACTCTCCTGGAGTCACATGATGGCCCGAGGTAGACATTTGCTTCCACTTGATTCCCACGGGAGCTTAAGAGCTAGTGAAAAAGTAGTGGAGTCATCATGACAAGGGGTGTGTTGATGAGGAACGGGAGTGTCATTAGACTTGGAAGTAATCATCAGGATAAGAAGATGACGATGAGAATGATCGGCAGCGGAGGGGAAGAGCTCATTGAGCACAGTGACAATCACAGATGCGATGTGAATAGTAAACAGTGGTGATGTTCAGGCGGGTGGACAGTACTGGTACTGTTTGAGAGTGAACAGTAATATTGAATTTTTCTTCTTGTTTTTTTTTTAAGAAAAAATTGAGGAGCTGATATCAATTGAGAGGAACTAAAATAAAGAACAAACGAGAAAGATAAAAAGATAGATGTTAGGGTGAGATCAGATTCATTCACAGACATGTAATCTTGAAAATAATGGCTTCACATCTAAGCAACTCACATGCTCGAAAGAAGATTTCGAATCTCTTAATTTTCATTCATCAATGTCTATCTCTCAAAAGAAAGAATACATGTTTATAAAGAAAACTAAAAATAGAATAAATCTCAATCATAACCACAAATAAATCCTAAGAAAATCAAATAGAACAAGATCCTACGAACCTGACAGCAAATTCTTTTAAAATCAAACAAAAAAATCCTAAAAAACTAACAATATACCCTAATAAATTCTCACTTAAAATAAAGATTACACAAAATATTTCTGAAACAAAAAAAAAGATTTTAATAATTTCTACTCATCTAAAATCGACAATCCACCATCGTCTTGCATCATATGCACTAATAAAATAGAACATGGGTGATAAGTAAACTAAACCCTCACAGTTTAGGAGATTCATCTGCAATTTTCACTATAATTTGTTACACCTACAGCAATATATTTCATGAGAATCTGAACAAATTTAAAAAAAGATATGGTGATGGATCACCAAGAGGAAATGCTAAAAGCATATACAAGTAAAATAAAAAATGCAAATGACACAAATCAAACCACAATGTCTATGAGGGTTCTACAGAAATTCACAGGTCAACCATATGAAGGATAAATCTAATTAATTTTATGAACAATTATTCCTAAACCAATTTAACATTAACCAATCATCCCTTGCAGTTACTCAGTATCATCATCTTCAAGTACATGATATCTTAATTTTTTTCTTCACTGTCAACAAACTCTTCCTGCTCACAACTATCTTATTTCTTTTTGAGCAATGACGTTCAAGTTTTGAGTTCTAGTTGATAATTGACATAATAATAAATAACTTATTAGAGACATGAAAATGATGGATTAAAAAAAAGTTTCATTTATTAGAAATTAAAAGTTGCGCCTCTTCATTTTGTTTTTGGTAGTGCTACTGGGCAGCCCTCGTGATTATATATCCAGAAGTTGTAAAGTCCTCTATCCCAAGTCCACTCATTGGGGCTTTTGTATGTGACTGGAAAACCAAATTATATGTTCGTCTAGTTCCTTTCCTCTATGCTTTTCGCATTTTAAATTGTTGCTATAAAAGAAAACCATCATATTGAATCTTACATTTCCCAAACTATTTATCTACTCTATAACAATATAAAACTGAACGCTAAGGTTTCCGATTCAAAATGGGTGTTCAGGTACTAGTTGTGTTCTATTTAGTGAGCGAAGAAAGAAAATTGAATATGAAAATAAGTTTGTACTTTGTATGCTTTTATCAACAAAACCAGGTATCCCAGTTAAGATTTTCTCTTTGTCAAAAGACTATTTATTTTGAAAACATGAAATACATACCCAAGTAAAAGGTCTTTCTGAATTGATATAGATACCCATTCTATAAGGGGATTCAACATACAATAAGATATTGCAATATCATAGATGTGAATCCTAATGTAATAGACTTAAATAAATACATAGATAAGGTACCTAGTATTCTTATATATCATATTGCATTGCAAGATACAGATATAATAAGATATTCAGCAAATATTAGCTTAACAAAAAACATGACTCAGGGTGGACATGAACAAGCTATGAGGATTTGAAGTTCCAGTATGATACTCAAACCAACCGAAAAGGAGAGCACCAGATAAGGCATAAAGAATCTCAGTGATGAGGATTCAAGTGAACATGATTGAGATATCACTTAAAAAGGTTAACTGACAATTAGCAACCTTACATTATTACAGTATGGATTTTGCGATTTGAGCAATGATTTAGGTGACATGAACATTTGCTCCGCTCAGCATCACTGATAATAAAAGGGAGAGGAGTCATCAAAATCTAGACATGGGAACTATTGTTAGGTATTCAGAATGAATCAAATCTTAAACAATTAGATCTCTTACGCAATACACTACTTCCAATGATTTAAATTTTAAGGGTAAATTAGGATGTTTAAAGTGTCATAAAAATTCTTCTTTGCAAATATACAGAAACAATACGCTAGTTGCAACTTTTCCAAACTATTGATGCCCCTAGCAAATGGATCTTAGTTACACAGTATGCAGTACGTAGCCGGCTGTCGTACGAATTTGGGTACACAATTTGCCACTTGGAAATTTTGGCTTTTTTTGGGGGGGTGGGGGTGGGGTGCTTAACTTGCTTCGGAAATGCAACTTCGATAAATGATACGTTGGAAATCTTTTTGGTGTGTTCATAGTTTTTCAAAGTGTATAGTAGAAAACTAGAAACTAGAAAGCTCATTATGCATTTCTATATTTTTCATACAAACTACTTAACTACTTCTTTTATGGAGTTCAATTTTCTTGTTTAGTTTTTCTTTTCACATAGTTCATGTTGGAATCATGGTTTCATTTCATATTATATTAACATAGATATTTTGGGGAACCAATTTGTGTATTGGAGATCGGTTCGCAAATGTACTGGGAATCGGTTCGCAGAACTGTACGAAGGTTAGATGGGGGTCTAGGGAATCGCGCAACTATGAGATCGATATAGAGAAGCAATGATATGTTAGCTTCCATACTTTAGAGTGCATTCATTCCTTTCAGTGTACTGGCTTCTATTCAACCCTTGTTAATGCCATCATTTCTCAATCTAAAGTACCGAGTACACATCCAAATCTTATTTAGACATGATGAAACACAAATAATCAGAAGAGAAAGAGCGAAGTTTCACCTTAAAAATTTTTAGAGTGCTGTAAGAATTCTCTAGTCAATAAAACTGGCGTTCTCTAGTTCCACCTATCTAGCCCCCATAAAAGTTAAACACAACAAAATATCCGCAAAAGAATACTAAGGAAAAGCTATTGTTTTTTGGTTCTATCGTAAGCACAAGGGAGCAATTTAACCCTGATCGTACAAGACATGCGTACTTAACCCGCTTAAATATCATAACATTAACTAAAAATCCTGATCAATAAGATTTCAAAAAAGGCCTGAACATATCAATACATAAGTGTTCACATACATAGGACAATCCAGCTCAGAATCGCACGATTTCTTATTATGTCTCAACATGATGAAAGATAAACCTGACCTAGCAAACACTGATTTTTTTCCCCTTCGCTTCCACCTACCGTCTAATACAAAGAACAAGCATGTAAATATCTTCGACCTAATCAAGAATGGTACGTAAAGAATAGCCCCAAATGAAATTGTCCCATTAAAAGCACGCGCCCTCTTACAAATCTCAATGCGTTAGCCTAACCTAATCAAAGATTGCACTTTCAGCTGAAATACGCCAAAACTCCGGAACTTACCCCATTCGAGCACACTACAATCGCGATTCTCCCCCCCCCCCCCCCCCCACCCCCACCCCCCAATTACACCACAAAACAACTGAAAATTGAGAATCAAGGAGCAAAAGCTAGCTGAGCGATTAAAGAGTACCCGCTTCGATTTGAGGCCAGCGTTGAGTTCTTGAGGCGAGTGAGGGCGAAATAAGCCGTCAGGAAACAAGAAGGCGCAGACGCAACCGAGAGTGATCCCGATGGCGACGGCCATGGCGATCCGAGACCCGCGAGAGGACCCACCGGCGCCCCTCATCAGTGGGGCTTCTCGCCTTCCCGCCATCTTCTCTCTGCTCTCAGATCTGTTGAGTTTCGTTGAAGAAAACCCTAAAGATGAGATTTTTATTTTTTTATTTTTAACTTTTTTATTTTTTGAGTGAGAGAGAAGACTTTCAGTTGTTTAAGGACAAAAAACTATTGCAATTTGGGTAATAATTACGGCGAGAATCTAATCTAGCACAGTGCGACTGAAAGGAGAAGATGCTGAAAGACGGGTATCAGTATCTGAGTTCTTATTCGGTTCAGATCCGACCCGTTAGGAGGGGTGCTGGTTATTAAGGCTAGGACTTCGACGGGCAAAATTACCCAGATTTGGTATATTTTGTTAACTATTAATGACAATTTAGTTTATTCTTTTCTCCGGCGACATATTGATATATTATTTTGACCACGACGACAAATAAGCCTTTATTTTGACCGAACCCAAAATTCTGGCGAAACTACCCATGCGTCACCTCACGTGCTGCCAACGTGGCGGTAATTGGGATGATTTAAGATGTCGAATGGTGGTTTTTCTCAGATTGGGGCTGAAAATTTCTTCTCCTTCTTCCTCCTAGGGTTAAGGTTAGGGTTAGTGGAATTGAAATTAGAGATGGATTCTTCATCTTCAAGCTCTCGCTCAAGATCAGTGTCAAGCAAGAGCATAAAAAAACAAGGGCTTAATGGGATAAAAGCTATACGACGGTGGAATGATCTAGCAAAGAAATCTAGGGTGAATGTTTTTAGTTGTGGTTTGGAGTGCGAATATTTCACTTCTATGACTGATGGAAATCCAAAAAAGAGGTTTTATAAATGTCGCAATCATCGTGTAAGTTATTTTTAGATTTGTTTTGAATTATTGCTAATTTTTCCTTAGATTACTTTTTACCTGTATGTATAAGTTGAAACAGAGATATATCTATGAGAATATGTGAGGTAAATATGAATTTTGTGAACTTAGAACTTAGAAATAGCTGCAATAGCATTAATTAATCTGAACAGGGTAAATACTAAATTAATGCCTTAATATAATTTTTATAAAATATTAAAAAATAAAGTTCAATCATTACATTATTCATATATTAATTAACATATTAAAGCCTATTATTATCCAAATCCAACCCGGACCATTACATTATTTATATATTACTGAGAATTGCAAGATCATTAAGCAAGAACTGTTGGATACCGACTCAAACTCCAAGTCGGATGCGGATTTGAAGGCTAGGTCTAGTCCTAGTAGTTTTCTTAGAGGCCAAGTTAACTTGGCATGCAAGTCAGTAGTGTCTTTAAATAAGGCGTCCTATTCTAGGGTTTTAGAGTAGAGATAATGAGAGAGACAATATTCTTGTAATCAGAGTTTTAGAGGGTGTAACCGGGTTCAAGGGTATTGTGAGAGGAGGGTTTGGCAGTCTTTGTCCGTGCAAAAGATTATAATTTGGAGGTGATAGTGGATTGATTTTGATCCCATAGTTTTTTCTTGTTAAGGGTTTTCCACGTTAAATCTCGTGTGATTCTATTTTATGCATTTGGTGATTTTTGGGTTTTTTGTGAGATCTAAAAATCCCAACAAGAACTCCATTAGTGCACCATATTTTGCCTTGCATTTGTTTGTTTTTGTTGACTTCCAGTCACAGTTTGTCTTAGCATGATCTAGCAGTTCTCCGTAGGTCCATTTGTTTTCTCCATTGCAAAAGGGACAAAGTAATCTCACTTCTGCAATGACCCTCCTGTTGTTTTGCAATTGTTCGAGCACAAAATTTTCATAGTTGACATAGTTATCTTGATTGTTAAGGAATTGTTCCATTTGAGAATTTAATTACAAACATGTTAAAATTTATTCATGTATTTGTGATATATGTGATGAAATATGAAGGAAGAGAATATGTAATTATTGAAATATTTACCTCGACATTATCTTCAACTTGAGAGTTCATGATATTCTCTACAATCTTTCCCGGAGGAGAGATGTTGTCCATTTATTGCACTTTTATCTAAACCCCCATTGAAAAAAGTATCAATAATAGAGGGAAAAAATTATTGATGAAAGTAAATATCCTTTCTTACCTCCAATTTTTTTAAAGATGGAGGATGTTGATTTTGGTAAAATTATAGAGTTTATGTTATATTTATAGACCCTAAGGAGGCAGTTGTAGAGATTCTTACAATTTTGGTTCACATCCCTTGGCGATGAAATTGTAAAACTGTTCAATTTTCATTTTAATTTATTGCGGTTACTTCTTTTGGTCATAGCAAAATTTAAATTGTCCGTTATTTTTTGATATGATTTGAATTATTGCTAACTTTTATACTTGGCATCTTTTTTGTTTTGATTTTGTTTGATTTATGAGTAATGATAGGCTAGTGGCTGTGGAATTTGGGAGTGGATTGACAAGTCAATGTGTAGTGTTGTTAATTATTTCCGCTTCTAAGATCGGAGATCAATGGTTTGGGAATATATTGATTTTGAAGGATGAGTTACTTCAAATGTGTGAAAATGAGTTAAGAGGATCTAATGAGCACATACAAGCTTAAAAGAAGAGGTTGAATTGTCTCAACATGAAGTCGCGTCTTGTTTGAAAGAAGTAGAGAACTTGATGAGTGAAAGATTGGAATTGCACGTAAAGCTTGCAGAAGAAAAGAAGAAAATGAAGTGTATTTTGTTATTAGGATTGTTTACACTTTGTTTAATTTTGTATGTTGTAATGTGAAAATGGTTGTATTGTGATTAAAGTAATGTAATTTGTGAGTTGAGTTAATTATGAAGTTGATATAATCTGAAGTTGTGATGCAATTTATATAATTTAAAGAGTTGTTATATTTGCATTTTGCCAAAATTATGTTGCTTATGATAAAAGACAAAATTGTGCAAGAATTCAGGTAGTTATACATGCCTCATTTGTAGTGTGTGTTGATATATATAGATTGCCAACTTACCATATTGGTATATTTGTTCATATTGTGTTACCAAGTTGACATATTTACCTCTAATTATTATACCAAATTGGTATTTTTTTTCTTAGAGACTACTGTCACATTGATATATTTTGTTAGGGTCAATAACCAAATGGGTATATTTTGTTGAAATTAGTACCAGTTTGGCCCAAAATGCATATGAGCTGTACAGATAGCAGCGTTAAGCAGACATATAAACTTTCATCCTGCTAATATAATAGATATATAACATTAAGTAGCCATAAACCAAACTATTACCACTTTGACACAACATGCAAATTTACATAAATTGATCAAAAACACAATAGCCAAAATAAGTTCCTGAAACTAATTATATGCCCAGAGACAACAAAATACTTAGTTTTCCAAACATAAACAAACTAATCAAAATGCTAAAATATATACACCGGTACAATAGTCAAGAATGTCTAATTTTGTTGCATGTATATTTATTTTTTCTAATTGACATAACTAAGAATTGTAATTGAGTTTTTTTCTTCTTTTTCAATATGTTCTAGTTTTCGTGTGTATATTGTAATTGTTCTTAGGAATTTAATTTTAGAATTTTTAGGGTTATCATTCTTTAAATTTTCGGGATGGTTTAACAAAAACATGCGTGAGAATTATGTTTTAATATAAATTGTTGGTATTGCTTTCATATCGCATATTATCCAATATCCACGCCTTCATTGCATGAGTCCCTCTCTCCTTTAGCCTGTTTCATGCCATAGAACTGTTTTTTCGCCTTATCAAAACTTGCTAATTCTTTTACATAATAGTTAAATTATTAAATTTCTTTTGCAATGCTCTTGATAGTCTTGTAGGCCCCGTTTGGCAAAGGGTTAATGAAGAGGGGTTAAAGAGAAGGATTAATGTACTTAGCTCATTTGATAATCCGAAGGACTAAATTATTAACCCGTTAAATAAGTTTTATTTTAGCTCTTATGATCAGTTTTAGTGTTTGAGAATAACAATGATTTTGACTATTTTCTTTATAATTAGAAGGGTTAACTCTTATTTTATCTAAATAGGAGTATTAGTAAACCCCTCATTTTGAGAGGTTAACTCATTTTAACCCCTCTAGAGGGGTTAACTTAACCCTTCTATATTTTTTATGTTTGGCAAATTATGGAGGGTTAACTCACTTTAACCATTATATAGATTTGTTGTGTTTGACAGGTTAAGAAGGGGTTAAGTCTCCTTAACCCCTTTCTTAACCCTTTGCCAAACGGTACCGTATAGAATAAACTAAAATCCACAACATTAGATTAAACTATTTACAAATTAGTCCCTCACATCATAAAAACTGCTATTAGATCTCTAACTATCATATGTTGTTTCCGATCAATGTCACTAATCGCTAATTCTACTCTTCATTGAAAGGGAATAATTGGGTAATAACCTAAGAACTGAAGAACCCATTAGCTTTTTTGTTGGTTTGAGGGTCTAATTTCAAAATATGAAGGATAGAAGGTATTAATATGAGTAAATTTCACAAAACCCCACGAATTTTGGGGCTGTTGCACAAAACCCCTCTAAACTATGTTTATCTCACATAAACCCCTTGAACTATGGTATGTCTCTTATCTCACATAAACCCCTTGAATTATGGTATGTCTTACAGATCCCCCCTAAATTTTAGCTTATCTCACCTAACTCTCCAGCTAGTAATTTGCAAATAACTAAACTATTTTTGAGTGAAACTTTTCCAAACTTTATCGCCTATCATTTACATGCAATATACTCTTTCCTCTAAAGTTTGAGTTTTTCTCTCAAGAAAATTTTAATTATTTGTAAATTATAGGCAGAAGGGTTAGGTGAAAAACAGAGTTCAAGGATTGTGCAGCATCCCCAAAAGTTCAGAAGGGTTTTGTGAAATTAACCCTACTAATATCTAAACTATTATGGTGAAAACTTTGTGAGAGTAGGAAAACTTTGAAGGATAAGGAAAAATAGTCCTTCATCTCGCTAAGGACATGAAGACAATTTGGTCATTCACAAAAGTTTTTCCTTTTCTCTTTCTTTATTTCTAGAACTTTTTAATGCATATTATAAATCTTACTATCTAATATCTATCACATTGTATATATCATAAGAATATATAAGTGCGAAATGGTAAAGTTCTTTTCCATGTAGATAAATGCAATAAAAATAACAATTGAAATTTAATATATTCCAATATAAATATTATGAAAAGTGCATATCAAAAT